TGGGGGGGGGGGTGGTGAGAGACCAGAGAAGCCCAAATCAGGACTTGTAGGTTAGGCGTGTAATTCTCCATCTAGGTCCTGGATAGCGGATGACTACCCACAATGCATCAGTCAATGACTAGAGACAGGAGAAGGGATATTTAGTATATATTCAAGATGGACTCCAACCAAATAAGATTGTTTTAATATGGTTTTTGATCATGTGTCAGAGTTAAATCTGACTCCCCTGCAGTCTTGTACAGTTGTACCGGCTGCTGTCCTGGACTGAAATTGCTTCCTCTGATATCACTGCACACTGGGAGCTTCTCATAATGTGCAGTAGAAGCTGCAGCAAGTCAGATAGAGCCCGCCTCAGGTCCTAGCTGGAGCCTGTCCCCAGCCTGACCCTTTTGATCTTTGGATTTCAGTTCTGGAGGCTTGGCATCACACGTGGGTGTTACCTAAGTAGCCTGCCTAGGAACACCCACTCCTCTAGACTGATATCCACCCATCAAGGCATTTTGATATTTGCATAACTCCTCCCAAGAGCCGGCCTACTCAATCAGGGCCGAGGGCTCTTGAAAGGAGTGCTGAGGGATGGTGATGTGATGGTTTCAGGAAGCTCTGTGCAGCATTCTGCCAGCCCCAGCCATGCTTGCATTGTGTAGAGATAGAGAAGCACAGAGACCCAGTGATGAGGTCACTAGGTCCAAAATAAGGTATGTAATGAAAACAGGTTTTATTTGAAAACCTCATTATCTCGATGGAGGGAGGAATCAGGGAAGGCAACATACAAGCAGAATAGACTTCAGCTGTAAAAAGCTCCAAGACACTAAGCCCTCGTTCACACCTGACCGTTTTGTAGCGCGTTCTACGCTCGACGAACGCTCTACAAAACGCTCAAAAATATAAATCCCATTGTATTCAATGGTCTCGTTCCCACCTTGGCGTATTTCCGCCCGTCCCTAACGCGCTACAACGGCCCACCCTGAAAAGGTACAGGTACTACTTTGGCCCGTTTTTGTTTGCGCGTTTCCATTGGGATACAGCCAAGTAGCCTTCGGAAACGCGCAACTTTTTTACCGCGAATCGCGGTTAAAAAAACGCGCGACGGTCGCGCATATGCAATACGCCTAGGTGTGAACGAGGGCTTAGTGCTCTATATGAAATTAGCGTGTAAAGTCCCAACAGAACACAGAGTGTTGAGCAATCTCTTTGGTTATTCTATAAAGTGACACCTCTGTGGAAGAAAACAACTTACTAACATTTTGCCCTTTTTGTTCCCTTTTCCCCAGCGGACCCTGGCTACATTTGATACCTTGTATTCACATAAGTAGAAATCAGCCATGTTATGCAGGTTTGTTAAACGCTCAAATAAAAGCAACGTACAAAGTACAGTAAGGCCCCTTTTTAGATGAGTGGTCCGATGGGGTCCGCCAGTCAGTTTTTCAGATGGACCGGATTGGATGCCCAATGTCAGTCTATGGGCAGCTGAATCTAAATGGACGGGTGTCCATTTACATCCGGTGGCCCCTGGCTCTGGTCAGGTTCGGAAAAATAAAATGGAACAGCGTTGCATTTGCTGGACCTGATCGTGCCAGATCGGGGGTAATCTGTCCGTTTCAATTCGATTCCCCATAGACTGGCATGGGGTCCGGTCATTTAGAGTTTTTTCCTCCATCGCAAGAAAGAGGGGAAAAAAAAGTGGACAGACACGGATGTCACAGCAGTGACATACGATCCCTAATGCTCTGATCAGGAGGGGATCGGTGTATGGATCCCCTCCTGGCCGAATAGTGTGAAAGGGGCCTAAGATGTCATGCCACAGCCACAAGATGGCCATACAGCACACTTCCAGGTGACTGGGTATATATGCAAATTACAGCGTAAGCTTCCATACGGCCTGTAGGAATGTCCTTGAAAACAGGTGGTCTGCACTTGGGGATACTACAGCCCCATATGGAAGCTTTCACTGTCATTCGTGTATGTATTTGTAGAGCCTCGGCTCCAGCCAGCCTGTCATTTATCGGCTATATGGTGCACTTGACTCTCCCAGCCCAGAGATATACACACTGATGTGCGCTGTACGGCCATCGTGCGGCTGTGTGCATGAGCCCTAAATCGTGGCAACCTGTAATGGTCTACTTTAGAGAGGAAGCTAAATTGTTAATTTGTAGCAGAACTTTGCACAGTGTCTGGCTGTTTCCCCTTCTAACTGATGGTGCCCTATAGGCCAGAATTTGCAAGCTGGCCAGTGTTAGAATGCAGCCTGTCGCTATAGCGGGTGCGCATGAAGCGGAGCGCCTCTCCGTAGATATCATTGGCCTGTGAGTTTAAAGACTGGTCTTTTGGTTTTTGCTGCCCCCCTTAAAGTGGAGAATGCTTTCATTTTTTATGCAGAGCAAATATTTATAACCGCATTAGATGTTGTTGAAGCTTTTAAATGGAACGTTAGTACTAAGATGATAAAGTACAGGTCCATCACTTTAATGAGGTAGCCTGAGGCTATTGCCTCAGGCAACATCTCTTTGGGTCACGTGGGAGGGTGCCTGCTGCCCCTTTTCTGGCCAGAGTGTCCCAGGTTGCTAAAGGCCATCCACAACTACACGCCCAGCTCTTGGCAACCTGGGACGCTCTGGCCAGCATCCCACCCAGCTCCTGGTAACCAGTGATGTCACTGGTTGCCAGGAGCTGAATTGTGCTCCGGCCAGAGCATCCCAGGTTGCTAAGACCTGGGTGGGGAGATGAACAGCCTGCAGAGGGCAACATCACTGTTTTATGTCTGGTGGCAAGGTCTCCTTTGCGCACCTCCTGCTGCTCTGCTTGCTTTCAATGGCCTCTGATCATAAAGAAGCTCTAAAGTTTTCCAAATACATTTAAGGTGGAGTGAGTCTAATGATCCCGCATTGTATTCTCATTTCTGTGTAGGTATAATAATGTAATAAATCCCCCCCCCCCAAAAAAAAGCCAGTGTCCGCTGGATGTTACTAGGAAACCTTCACCATGTGCATGTGTGGTGCTAATTCCATGTGCATGCCGCCGGTCCTTGTTCCTTGCTTGTTGTTTCACTGTGCATGTTTTATTTTTTATACTTGTTGATGTGGAGACGTCTCCGCGGTATTTGTGCCAGCTGCCTCCAGCTCCAAGTACAGCAGAGCCGTCTATTCATGTAACACAAAATGCTTCCCCCTGCCGATCTAGCAGAGGTTATTGCCCCATTTCGGTTCCGTAGTTTGCACTAAAGAGTAGTCTACCAACGAGGGTGATGGCACCAAAACCATGCCGATTCTGGTTCGGTTCTTTGTTGTTCTCCTGCACTCTGCTCTTGCACTGCACTACGGAATAGTAAGCCTCGTGATTATGCAATAAGGTCTGCTCAATCCGCGCATTGAAGCATGCAATATTGGTGCCTTAGTTGTTGATGGCCACTGTGTACATCTATGGGTTAGTCAACATAGGGGTTACCTGACTGCACTTGACTGCAACTGTCAAACTGGTGAAAGGTAAGAATTTTGACTATGCGTCAATGTTTTTTATTGCAGACCTGTCGCAAACTATATAAAAGTGAACTAATTAAATTGACCCAGTTAATTAACAGACAAACTCGGGAGTTAAATCTTAAAAATACATTCAGGTACCTTAACTATTAACAACAATGTATCTTATTTGTGTATCACTCGACTGTAGATCCTCCAATCATCTCTGAATTGGTGCCGCCACCGTCCTTCCTTCTGGAGGGTGACTACTTTTGCTACTTTTGTTCCCCATGATCCCTGTGTGTTGTAAAGTAGTTACCACTCCAAGCTCACTCCCGTGATAGACTACAATCTCAATACAAGTTGGCTAACTAATTGTGAGATTGTAGTCCATCCCGGGAGTGAGCTTGGAGCGGTGACTACAATACAACACACACAGGGACCATGGGGAACAAAAGTAGCCCCCCTCCAGAAGGAAGGACAGTGTCCGCACCAATTCAGAGATGATTTGAGGAACTACAGACGAGTGATCCAAAAAATAAGATATATTGTTCATCGTTAAGGGACTTGAATGTATTGTAAAGATTCAACTCCTGAGTTTAGTGTCACTTTAAAGCTACATTACATGGTTAGAGGTTTGTGGACACCTGATCTTCACACCAATGGGTTTGTTGGACATCCCATTTTAAACCATGGCCATTAATATGGCGTTGGCCCCTCCTTGTGGCTAGAATAGCCTCCACTCTTCTAGGACGGCTTTCCACAAGATGTTGAAGTGTGTCTGTGGAAATTTGTGCCCATTCAGCCATAGAAATTACCCATGGAAGATCGAAGGACACCTGGTCTTGGTCCAACCAGTACGGTGTAGAACAGAGGATCGAAGCATAAGTCTGTGTTTGAGGATGGTGAGACAGTGCTTGGTTTTGGCCAGAGTGTGAATAAAGTAAAATAATAAATTATATATATATCTATAGATATCTATAGATTATATATATCTATATATAT